ATTAATAGGCAAAATACTGAAAAACAACAATGCTGTGGAAAACAGCACATTTACCTTTACCTTTATCTTCGTGGACAATACAACATACAAATATAATAATTCATATACCGTAAAACCTCGATTTTTTTCCCTTAGGGCTTCTTTTCGAGCAGGGCCCATACTCATAGGGTCATCTATCTAGCACCCTGACCAAAACGGGCTTTGCTGATAACACCATAATGTGTCTCTGACGTCGTCCAATGGCGGATTAAATGGGGGCCTTAAATTTGTCCTTTTTTTTAAAAATAAAGATATAGGTAAGTGCCATTTCTGGCCATTTAGAGGTGCCATAATAATAAATTTTCTTACCTCAGCCCCAACGATGGAGGGGCTGAGGTGGTATACACCCTAAATCTGTGAAAGTTCCTCCCTGATCCTCTCTATTTCGTCGTTAAAAACATATAGAATACAATGAGACAAACATTAAAAAGAGAGCATATCTAAAATGCCAAAATGGAATTGGTAAGCGGGACACGAAGAGGACCCCAGTCTCGGAAAGCCACAGGTCCCCGGCCCCATTGTGACGCCACTGTGTAGACCTAGGTAGTCCTCGACATACTGTAAGCCAATACACATCAAATGAATGCATGCGAATGAATGCGAAGCCTTAGTCGCAAATATTTTTACGAACTTTGGATTGGCTTCTTTTCAAGGCTACTTTTGTAAACTAAAGAGGGGGGCTTCTTTTCAAAATGAATGCTGTAAATTTTGTGAATTTGTACTATAAAATAAATAAATAAATAAGGCCACTTTAATATCAATCTGTATCATATAGTGTAACTGGCATTAAATCGCCTAAACTACTGTATAAGCCAAGCTTGTTTTTAATTATTTTGTTTTTTGAAATGCATGTACAGTGTATGTACTGTATTATCTCGAAAATAAGCCAATGCTATCTTGAAAAGACTCTTCAGTTTTGCAAACTGAAGAGGGGCTTCGTCTACTATAGACTTTGGTTTTGCTTCAGTAGGTTTCTGTCCCATAGAGCGCATGACAGATCCAAGCTCATCGATGCAGAATTATTACCGTCACCATCTTTGTCAAACGTCTCCATAAATTCTGGAATACAACTGTAAACTGTATGAATGTTGACTGAAAAATGTTAACCTGGAAATTGCTGAATCCATGCCAGTTTACCGAAGGCCTGTCTACAATTGCGAGGATTATCAGCAATTGGTTATTCTGTTGTTGCTGTTGCTGTTATTATCATTCTTTAGTTTCATAATTATGAAATTATGCAGTGTTTGCTTAATTTTCATCGATTTTGTAATGAAGATGTTTGATTTTGAGATTATTACCGTGTTTCATTAACATAATAATATATTTAGCGTCCGTGCTATTTTATCAACCTTTCGAATGTTGACTAAGCCTGTGGCTGCATGTTAATCACTCTGAAACGATCACTATTCTAAGCGTGATGGAGGTTGGGCCTTAAGCTAGAATATATAATCACCATAATAATTATATTATCAGAAGATTTCAATTCCAGGGTAAAGGGAAATAGTCACAGACACCTCTTATTTAGACCGAGAACCTTTCGATTCATTTCGTAGACCCAGTGGTGTAACGCTTATGTGCTCTCGTGCGGCGGTCCGCAGGGCCCCGACCCGTATGGGCCCGGGTATAGGGTCCTCGATCTAGCACCTGACCAAAAAGGGGAGGGCCCATACCCATAGGGTCCTCGATCCAGCACCCTGACCAAAAAGGGCTTTGCTGATACATAACAGCATAATGTGTCTGACGTCGACAGTAGGACATCATACCGTATTATTTCCAGTGGCTGATTCAATGGGGGGGGGGGGGCTAAATTTGTCCTTTTTTTTTAAA